TGTAAGTCTACAAGCTATCCTTTTAGATCTATTGCATGAAGTGTCCCACCCTAGGTCAGAAGCAAGCTTGGTAGTGCTGTCGTTTTACAATTATACTGAACTGAAGTGACATGCTACGTGAGAAAATGTGACAACCAAATTCAGTATTGATGCTCAAGGCCACATTAACGGTTGAATGTCCATTTTCATTTCAACCATTCAGTTGTGTTTCAAACTGGATCTGTGGTACGGTAGCCTTAAGTGTCCAGCCTTGTTAGCTTTAGTCCGCTCCCCAAGACTCTTGTTGGCGGGGAGCGGATCTTGGGGAGCGGACTAAAGCTAACAAGGCTGGACACCAGGGTATGGTACGGTGCTTTTTACATTGCTGTTGAGATTATGTAACGTTAATTTGGGTTGACAGTATGTTGACTCTATGTGCCAAAACAATTCTGATTCAGTGTTCTTGCCAACCTGAAATTTTTTGCTGTCATTTCAATTTTCTTTGTCATATAACATCCTGTCAAGGGCTGGAGACCTGCAAAATGTACCACTGGAAGCACACCAATCCTACAGGTGGTCCAGTGAAATTTTGACATCATTCTAGACCCTCTAGTCTGAAACACTATTTTCTACATTTTGAGGGGCAAATTATGTACATGCAGGACAGAACCACAGGACAGAGGCAAATGGCAAGCTACCATCAAGCCTCAGCATCAGTGTGCAAGCACGTCTAGAGAAAGAGAAAACTAAAAGAGAAAGAGAGAAATTTTGCTGATAGGCGTAGAGCTTCTATACAATGTAATATCTCTTTCCATATCTTTACACGCCAATTTTTGTCCGTCATTATCGTCAAAATTCTGTCAAATGGCAGAAAGACAGACGCTGGCTAGAACACTGGTTTACATGTAGTTGTACATGTACCACCTAAGGTATAGTTCAGTAATTAATTCAACATAATGATAATGTTATATGTGTCAGGCACTTAGGCCTAGGAAAATAAATGTTGTGTTTCCTGTTTCCCGACCGACCCTAAAAAAAAACGCAGACCCTAGCCTTATTTTTGTGTGGACCCCTGCATACTGCTGAACCAAAACATTTTGCACGACGCTACCGAGAGAATCGCTGTCATTGGTGGAACATCGGGCGCCCCGCTAGCGTTTTGAAGTCGTGTAAACAACGCTAATAATTTGTCTGATTTGTTTGTAAAACAAAGCCATCGACTCCGAAAATAAGTTTAAAAGCCGATACATAATTTTACGAACTAATCGTAGAAAATTCCCTACCGTACTGCACCATCAGCATGCGGCGGCCGCAAAAATTCGGCAACGCGAAAGAAAAATGTCTGGTCCATGATAGCAGTATTTCTCATAAAAATAATGTATATGATTTATTTTTCCCCCTTTGTCGGTCTTTTAGTCCCAAAACGTCTAAAAAAGCGGAAATTTGCCCATAAAACCGGACGAGGAAAGGTAGCTATCGACGTAAACAAATTATAAGCACATGGCGAAAATCAGCAAAATCGGCAACGGGACAGAAAAATGCCTGGTCCATTTATCGATATTTACCATGAAAATGTCGTCTGTGGTGTATTTTTCCTCTGATGTGAGTTTTTAGGTCGCAAAACCTCTAAAAAAGCAGAAATTTGCCCACGAAAACGGACTGGCAAGGCATGGGGGGAGATGAGGAGGGTGCTGTTGACGCCTGCATGACCCCCAAAGGTTGAAGGTCATAGGGCACGTCCATTGCGCAATAACCTTAAATCGCCGATTTAGCTAATTTTTGGGGTTTCAAATTGATACAATCACACTATCGATTTTTAGGCAAACAAAGGGTTAGAAACCAATTAAAATTTTGTGCAGATTTAATTTTTTTTCTTTAGAATTCTTTTTTGTTTCTTTTTTTTCTCCCAAATCCCTGGGAGAACCCTGAAATCCTGTAGACTTGAATCAGGACCTGAATCTGAATTTAGCCCTGCAAGGGCTAGGGACATCTGTTAAGTTCTTCGAGCTGATCGACCGTTTAAAGCTCCATGATCTGACACCTGAGTACCTGAGTGATGAAATATAATATTGCACAATCGATTTTTCATCATGTCCTGCTTATATAAACACAGCAATCAGCAAAGTTTAAAAAAAATAAAAAATAAAAATAAAATAAGATAATCCCTACCTACCGACCCTAATTTTTTCTGGACTGAAACAGGAAACACAACATTTTTTTTCCTTGGCCTTAGCATGGTAATATCAGCTAAATTGATTAAAACTTGATGTACATGTACAGATTTAATTTGCCAGCAATTCCCTGGCATAAGGGTAATTGAAAGTTGCTAGGGAAGACAATTTAATTTGATACAGTCGTTAATCCATAATACTGGCTTAATATATGAGTGTGCTTAATTTCTTCATTATGATCTTATATCTTTCAAAAATGGAAAAGGAATTAGGATTGACAATTTTTGGGGGACGAAAAAAGATAAAGCTACATCCCCAGAATTTGTTCCTGAACACCAGCGGCCAAGTTTGGTCGATGTTCGGGAGCACTCTGACCAGACGTAGGCCACGTCTACCTTTAGATGCAAATCAAAATGATTTTGAGTTAAATTTGAGTCAAATTTTACCCACAAACACTCCCCGAACACTGCTGACTTACTCCCGATGGTTGGCTGGTGTTACAGTCATTAATACAATTTATTGACCCAACCATTATAAGTCAAAGCTACCAACCATCCCCTACACCGTATATATGTTTTAAACATTTTTAGAGATTCGGCTGGTTCAGTCAAATCCGACCTTGCAGAACACTGGCTCACCCAGCCGAATTTACTAGAAAACTCAAGACCATGATTTTGGTAGCCTGGTTAACCAGACCGCCGTGAGCTCAGTGCTATCCCTTCGGTGCCGAGAGCGTTTGGGGTTGCCAACCAGGCCTGAATTACCGTGCTTCGGTGTGTGTGTGGGGGCATAGGTTTCTTTGCTTGGGTCGGCGGCAAAAGAAGACTAAGCGTAACTAATACAGGAAGTCAGCGGATACAGGGAAACCAGCTGGTCCATAACTCGCCTGTGCTTGGTGAAGGCCACCAAGCCAACCAAAGGTCTGGCACCCAGGCCATGATTTTGGTAGCTGTTCGGCTAGTGTTCATGAATGTGTGACTGGGGCTTAGTGTACTAAGGCTGCAGAAAACTTGTCAGTGGCTGTGTAGCATACAATGTACCTATTTAGATAACTATATTACGTAGCTGAGCATTGGTATTGCTCAATGAACACTTACCTATTATTATTGTGTCATCAATTATGAATCAACTCTGTCTGACATTTTTTTAAGTGCTGACAGAAAAGTCAGTCATGTATATCATCTTTCGTGACAAGCCCTTTTGTTGTGATTTTACTCTCACTGACTTGGAACAATTTTAGCATCACATTCAAGATTGGAATCATCTCTAGGTTGGTACATGTGTGCTTCTCAGTTTGCTATCCTGTGGCTTTTTTTCCATCATTTGACAGAATTTTGGCACTAATGACAGACAATAATTTTGACCAATCTATCATATTTGATGGACAAAAATAGGTGTGTAAAATATGGAAAGAGATGTCCTTATAAGTTACAGTAAGCTTAGTCCACCAGAAAAAAACTTAAAATGCAGGAAATAGGGTTTCATGATCAAATTGTCAAGATTTCAAAATTTTCAAAGAAAAGCATGATCACCTTTAAGTTAGCATTGACAACATCTAGTAGACATTAGTGCTCAATATGACAAAAGTTCAGGCTGGCTGAACCACTGCTATACAATGTACAATGTACATACATTGTACTACATGTAACTCTTGCAGGTGCAGATTGTCAGTTTTAGGACTGGCAGACCCAACATTTCTTGTAGTGTTGAAGGGCAGAGGTCCTCTGACTGTGCTAGACCACCCAATGGTCTAACATTTAATGCCTGAAATGCAGCATTCAATTGACTGTGTTGTAATTATGATGACAAAAATGGTACGCTGGAAATATTGAGAGGGAGTTAGTTGTTTAACTTCAAACTTCCTTTCCGGTGATTAGAATTGTCACATAACTGAGGGTTTAGATTCGTCTAGGTTTAGTTCTTGTTAGGATAGGATAATGGAACTGTTTGTATTTTATAAGACATTAAGAGACATTTTTTTCTGTTGTGTGTCCAATTTCTGTTGCAAGACACTACTACTGAGGTACAGTGTTCCAGTCAGTGTAGGATTTCCGTCAAATTTTGCTCCTCTTGACAGACAAAAATTTTGCCCAATCCGTCATCTTTGACTATCATAAAGTACAATGTAAGTTAAAGTATACGGAAAGAGATGTCATCAAACTAAGTTGAATCTACCAATGAAATCTGCTCCTCAAAATGCAGGAAATTGCATTTCAGAGGGTCAAGATTTCAAAATTATTCAGACCCCCTCAGATTAAGGTGACAGAAAAGAATTCCAGACTGGCTACCTGGCACTGGGTACCAGACTGTCATCTTTTGGGAACTTGTATCGTTGTGGTCAAGTAGTTTTTTTGTTCCTTGGCCTTTTAGTTAACACAAAAAGCTGGGTTAATATCTAAACAATGAATTTTGAACTTTTAATCAAACCAATGCATTGATAGATGGAAAAACTGTAACAACCAGGAAGAAAAGGACTTTCCTGAACTGTTGGTGGCAAAATATGAGCATTTTTGAGTTGATTCAGAACCAGAAAATTTTTTTTGCAAATCAGAAAAAACAAAGACTGAGGCAAATTCGAGAACCAACAAATTAAATTGGTGTGGCCTTATTGTGCATTGTAAGTTATTCATGTCCATTAAGTGTTGAATGTTTAATACAAACACTAAGACTAAAGCTTTTAAGTCAGCCAATGGAATGAAGATCTTCAATAGATAATCCTGTCCCTAAACATGTCTCAACTAAAACTGTTTACTGGTCTGTGAATTATTAATCGCGTTATCTCGAGTGTTTGACCTTGGAGCTATCAAACACTTTTAAAATTCACTGTTGATGGATATTTGTCCAACACAGGTGTTCACAGTGGCATTTCCAGTCCTGGTGGAACAGCTGGCTGCACCTGGACAGCTGCGATGGTGTGAGGAAGACAGATGCCAGGTGTGGAATACCTGACGTCATATCGGAGAAGCCATAGAACAACCTAAAGGTGATGACTTGTTTCCTTGTTGCTTATTTGACGGTGTAACATTTTGAACAAGTCTTGCATCTTATTATTGGGTGTTACCTAGTACTGAACTGTAACTCACTTCATGTTCGTGGTTGCAAAAGTTTATGGCCAAAAAAAAATGTTTGCGGAACTTTGTGGCCAAAAAAAAATGTTTGCAGAACTAAACGTTCGCTGTGGTGGTAGGTCACAAAAAGAAAGTCGTCGAATCATTTGCTATCGGGAAATTATAAGTTCGCAGTCAGAAGCGACCGCAAAAAACATTAAATCTGATATAAAAGTACCGCCAAAAATCATGATTCATAGTAGAGTAGTCCACAAGCTTAAGTTGGTAAAATTTGTTACAATTGCAAGGGCTCTTTGAGCACTAATCAATTTTCTATTACTCATTTTTTCATATTCCTTAGATGTAGGAAAAAGAAAATAGAAGAATTATTCGTTAATAGCAATAATAAGTGTTCAGAATTGGTGACAGAGAAAACCGTGAACATAAAGTACTGTGAAAAAATCAGGAATTACATTATTGTACATGTACAGTACATTGTGTACAGTATCAGGTATTTTAATGTGCTGTGTCAGACATTTTTTAAGAAAACAAAATCTTTCAATGGAAAGGAAGCGTACATGTAGTATATTCAATACTTTATGTCATACCTGGGCTGCGATTACGTTTGATACGGGTGTTCCGGCCCGTGTGATAACTACAATGTAGCGGTACGGCCCGGGCCGGGGGTTCGTAACGCGTATGGCCCGGACTTCCAAATTTTCCATAGAATGATTCGAACATGTTTCGTCCTAACCGCGTGCACCGCTTTTGAAAATTCGAATACAAAATTCGGACATTGGATTTGGAATTGATGTTGATGCATTTGTTGGGTTTAGGGACATCAAATTTTCGCTCAGTTCGCATTGAAAGGTGTGTCTTCTTGGGTGGGTATGACATAAATAAAATACAACATGGTGTATTCCGCATCGCCCTCAACCCCAGCCCTCCCGCGGATCCGACTCAAGGTCGGGCTGGTACCTCGGGCGATACGGAATACCCCGTGTTTTATTCTATTAATATGTACATTGTATGTAACATAAAGGTCTATACATTGTAAGTTTTACCGCAAACCTTGTAGCTGGCACTTCCAGTGTGCTGTGTGTCCATCCTGTTTGTCAAACCAAGTGCAAACATGGTGACTTGATGGACATTTATGAGTTTGTATACATGTGCACACATCATCAACACCTGCTGATGTTTCCATCTGGATTTAGACGTGTTAGTCTTTCTATAACAGGGCGCATGATTGGGTCATAATTGTTGGTATTGTAACGGAAAAGTTAGGTACACTCATGCTATAGGCTGCAACTTGCAAGTGACATGTAGTCAAAATTCTGCAACACTCAGATGTTTTACCTGTGTAAACAAATTACTAGTAGAATGCAAATGAGTCAGTACATTGGTCATACTTACTCTCCAAGCAGAGGTTTGGGTTATTTTTGACGTGTTTTTAGACTTTTTCATTGGGGTTTCTTTTTCTCTTCACTGGAATTTTTCTTTCACCAAACCCAACCTCTGCCAGCAGTCAAAAGCATCGATGCACTATAAACCTATTATATAGTAATCACTTCAACACATGACGGTCGTTCTGCAAGTAGGTGCGAACCAGACGCATGAATAGGCACAGTCAGCAGGAGGCGTGTGGCCAAATGAATGCCTTTCTGACTGGCTGGATGTGTGATAATCCACCACAGTAAAATAGATATCCCTAATGATAATTTGATGGTTCCCGGGGAGGAGCACTGTCACGTTTCTTGTAATAGGTTTGCCCCGCCCCGGGGTGAGTGCCGGCAGAGGTTGGGTTGGTGAAAGAAAAATTCCAGTGCAAAAATGAAACCCCAATAAAAAAGTCTAAAAACATGCCCAAAACCCGAACCTCTGCTTGGAGAGTAGGTCATACTAAGAATTTTAAAAGACGCCCGAAGTGAATTCAGGACAGTACAGCTGGACTTTCAAAGTCAATTTTCTGAAGTTTTTTTTAATGGAGTAATTTGAATCAACCCTAACCCATAGATACTGATATCTTAGACATAGTTTTAGACATAGCAGTCTATAGCTCTAGACAACTACCTTTTATCATTTTAGTTATTTTATACTACGTTTCATTGTGCAATTAGCCCCCCGGGCATGAATTTGCAATAAACTTCACGATATCTGTGAGGCAAAAATATGATGTCGCTGACTGAAAATGGCTGGCTCTAGCTAGTTACAATGTATTATTGGACATACCAAAAAAACAAAGGGTCACTTCTTACGTACATTTTAGCTTGTTTTGGGGCTACTTCAAGCTTCAAGTAGTAGTATGAAAACGATGACCCAAATATGCAGTAAATGTCAATATCAGACTATCAAATTTTTTCATCCAGAAAATTTTGTCCTAAAATTGCACCTGGTGCCTTTAAATAAATGTAGATGTTTGTCTTCAAACATAGCATGGTCAACTTACTTTTTAAACCATAGAAAAGACCTGCTGTTTGGTAGGAAATGAATATTGTTTGATCATGAATGATTAAAGTATGCTATTTTGAGTTCCAGACATAATATTGATATTGTCTTATAGAGTATGCCTTGCCAATATAAGTTGCAACGTCTATTTACAATGTACAAGGCAGTCCTAGGCTATGTAAGAAACAGGAGGAGAGAGTAGAAACAGATAAAAACCCCTAGTCCCGGGCTGGGGTTTGAACCCACGACCTCCTAAGCACCAGCTTCAGACTCCAACGCCCTAACCACTCGGCTAAAAGGTCTAGTCCCATTCGACGCTCTATTTACCACTCGGCTAAAAGTTCTAGACCCATCGGCCGGGTCAGTCGGTAGCGCCAATAAACCACCACTGTTACAACTAGAGGCTAAGGCATCAAACTTTAACTAATCTTGTCTTGAGCACAACATATTTGAGTTGAGCTGCTACAGTGACTGTTACAAATATATATATATAGCCTGAAACATTGAATTTTCAAGTGGAAAGATTGTATAGTTATATATTTTTTTAAATTCAACTACAGTATGCAGAACACAATGCATGTAGTATTGGTACGTCATATATATTAACAATGTCAGGCATTTCAGGGTTGGACAAGTTTTCAAAGTTGGGCAAGTACATGGTCATTTCCACTTGTCTGCATGAACTTTTTACTGGCCTGAAATATAAATGACTTAATTTTTTCTATGAATTCTTACTTGCCACAAGCAAATTCTTTATTATTTTTTTTAGTAAGAGAACATATTAAAGTTTTTAAGCAATTTTACGCTTAGTCACTGATGTAATATGTTTGGTAACACAGGACAACATTAACTGCTACTGAAACTATTTTCTTCATTATCTTTTTAACATCTTTAATGGGCAGTAGAAACCAGTGGCTGTTTTTGTATACTCTACAAGCAGAGTTTAGGGTTTTGGGTTATTTTGGGTGTGTTTTTGACTTTTTTAAAGGGATTTCTTTTTTGCACTCACCGGAATTTTTCTTTGGGTGAAAGAAAAATTCCAGTGCAAAAAAGAAACCCTGATAAAAAAGCCTTAAAACACGTTAAAAATACCCCAAAACCCAAACCTCTGCTTGGAGAGTAGTTTTTGTATATAAGTTGAGGAGAATGATGTCCTAGGGGGTCTATTATCCCCTGTGCTGTACACACAGTTGGTTGGTTTATTACAATGACTGTGTTTTACCTACACGTTAAACAAACGGCGGAGGTGTGGCACCCAGCCTTTCATGTCCAGGATATCAAACAACTTTTGTAGTGGCTTTGCCATGGCAACGTGTTTGCTTTATTTGTCCTCGCTATGTCGTCCCCCAGATTTTGTAAACAGTGTTGCTGCACCTTTGCCCTGCTGTGGTTGTGCGAACGTTTGTTCGACGGGTGCGGGCAGGGCGGCGTGTCCGGGGCGGCGGAAACACCGAGTCGCGTTTGTCGATTCCGTACACAGGTGAGACGCAATTCTTGAACACATTTTGAGTTTTCGGAAAGCAGAGTCTTCGATAAGGCCTGTGATTCAGTTTGAAGTCACTGGACTCAGAGATTGTCTTGAAACTTTCAGTTTAGAATGAAGAAACATCCAAGGAGGTCTGTTTATAAGGTTTATTTTCTAGATACCAAATCTTTACACATGAAACTTTGAAGCAACTGAATTTGGTTCATTGAGAAAAGTCATGGTTAAGGGAAGGTCTATACTAAGGAAGTCTGTAAGTCCTTTGTCCCAAACAGTCTCACAAAGAACGTTGGAGTTTTGAAAGGATAAAAATAAACTTGCGGGACATGACGTGTGTTTCGACTTCCCCTTTGTGAATTGGAGTGTACCTAATGTGATGTAACAAGGTGTTTTGTTGTAAATATTGGACTTTCTGGACTAAGCATGAAGACCTCATTGTGTCAGTGATGTTTCAAGGCATCCACACAGCCCTAACAAAACGACTTTTAGACTCAGCAAAATTTAGAAGGCTTTCAGAAATTTTACCAAGCGAACTTTGTGTAACGTGTCAGATTAAGAGAGGCAAATTGCTTGACATTCCAAGCTTCCATAGAACCATATCATTCTCAATCTTTTTCATATGAAAGCCGACCTCATTTTCAACACTACGTATACATTAGCAAGAAGTTTTCCTTTCCGGTGCAGTTACTACTAGTGAATGTTTCAGACTGCACAGAGACCACATTCATACGAAATATTCTTTTGTATCTTGTTAAGTATTTACTACGTATTTAAGTGGGGAAGCGTTGTGATGATTTAATCCGTATTATAAGGCTTCCTAGTACACATAAAATTCAAAGGCCACCTCATCTGAATGCCTTTTCTCCCATTTGTTACCCCCTAGAACATAGAGGAATAGGTATTACACATGCCGTGTAAACTGTTGCTGTCTCTGAATATTTACCTCTCTCCATAGCAAAAAGAAACAGGTATTGTCTAGTTACCAAGTTGGCATCTTTGTAAGAAGTATTTACTAAATGTACAATGTCATGAAGATGTACACAGTACATAATATTATTATTATTACCAATACATGTAATATAATTATATATATATGAAAGCATCTAGTCTTATAAAGTTAAAGCTATCTATCAAAGAGATCATCATAAGAAGATGCTTAAGTTTGTTAAAATATGTAGTAAATCAAGATACAACAATAGGTTGCTTGAAGGTATTGATAAATGGTCCTTATTACATGTATAACACTTCTAACTTAAAGGTAACAAGGTCGTTTGGTGGTTAAGGTAGTTGACTCAGAATCTGAACAATCTGGGTTCGAATCCGTGGCAGGCCCCAGTGTTGTGTCCTTGGAAAAGGCACTTGAGTACTTGGAAGCACTTCCTCCTTTGGTGAAATGAGTACATGCTCCTAGCTTTAATGTACATGTACTTCCAATGTGAAGTCACTTAGATGTCATGTACAAAAAGAAATCTCTTTATTTAAGTCTGATTCAAAAGATTGGCTGTTATCAGTGGTTCTACAATATGTATTTTTTGTGCTGCTTTTCTAAGTAAACTTGAAAGGCAGTGTAGTGTGATAGGATGCAGTGGAGTAATACATGTAGGTGTAACTTAAGACTAGGGTACAGGTGTAACATGTTTACTGTTGACTTAAAGAACACTGGGCAGTTTCTTGGCATCGGGCCTACATTTCTTGAAGATATTTATAGCACCAAATGGTACTCACTCACTCAGTACCCTGTACCAAGCTATAAGTGTCCCTGACTCTTCCACCCTGCCCTTGGTTTCAGCAGTCACATCAGATACTGTCATCCCCTGAACAGCAACAATTGAGGTACTCTTCAACTTCAAGCAGATATTTAGGCTTTGGCTTATTTTCGGCATGTTTTAAGCATTTTTATTGGGCTTTCTTTTTTGTACAATAACTGGTGTCTTTATTTTTATGCCAGCCGTGGTGCACGTGGCAAATGTATTTTCTGCCTGGCAAATGGATGCAGCTCGGCCAATTCAAATTTGATACAATAACTGTCTAAAAGTTTGCATCCACCAAAAGATTTGCTTGGAGATTAAAATTCACTCATAGAGCCAAAAATGTCAAACGGACATTGGACATTCTTGAAAATTCTGGATATTTTTTAAACATTTGTAGGAATGTCTTTCCCAGGTCTTTACAGGGTCTTTTTGGGGAGGACTTGTTTGTTGTGTTTTCCATTGTTCATGAGGTGTCTGTCAGAAAGTTTAGAAAAAAACTGTGAAAACTGGCATGCATATGAAAAGCACTGCACAAAGCCAAGGCAATTTAGAGGGCAGGACACAATTAATTAACAGACAGATGCTAATATCTTTATAAGTACGCATTGTGCTAAACAAAGGACTGTCTCCTAGGGGTGTCCCTACCTGACGTGTGAAGAGACTATGGCTATATAGAATGTCCATCTTGGGTTATTTCAATGTTGTTTTTCAGTTGAGAACCAAAAGACCTCCAATTAAGCAGAGGTTAGGCCTGTTTTGGGGCTTTTTTTTTAGCTTTTTGAGACATTGTTGGGCTTTAGAAAAATCTATGTTTCAAACACTTCAGGAATGTCAAGGAATTTCATCTAGTACTTTCATGCTTTGCTGTTTGGAGATCAAATATAGTGATCAAAGCATGGCAGCTATAGAACTTTTGCTTACGTTGGTCCATTAGGGAATTAGTACTAGTGATAAAAATTTACTTTTTATCTGCTTCAAAGGAATGGTCATGCATATGTGTGTGTGTGTGTGTGTGCTGCTTTTAACTTGAAAGGTTTTTTTTTTTTTGTAGTCATTGTAGTCTGATGTTATACAATCATGTGCATTGTACACCTATTGCAATGCAGATACATGTTGTAGGCACTGTGCATTGTGACATTCAGTTAGTAGTGTTGTAGTATTATCCGGTATGGTATTTGATTATACTGATATAGAGGGTGCTAGATGTCTTGTTTTGTTGACAAGGAAAATGGTTGCATCATGGTTTAACGAGGAAGTGAATCAAATCATTTCTGCTTTTTTCTTCAGTGACGTCACTAACTAACTCCCTGTGTGCATGGGCAGACAGAAGGAAAAGTTCCGCCAAACTTTGATGACCATTTCCCATGTGGTCAGGTGTAACAGCAAAGCAGGTCCTTTTCCTTGACATTCTTTACATATAGATTTTTTTATGTAGCTGACTGATGCCTACCCATGGTACCCAAGGTGCCATCCGTTTAGTAAAAAGTGAAAGAAAGTGATCTCGAACCAGTTTAGCTCACTGAAGAGCTAATCTTCCACTGGTCGTAACAGAGAAGACAGATGCTATGTACAGTATACACTGTTCATTGTACCAGGGAAATCCCCCTTGCTCTTTTCAACAAGCACAATGAACAGAGGACCACGGCTTAACGTCCCGTCCTAAGGACTGCGACCCTAAACCGTAGCGTGCATGAGGGGGAGCGACAACAGCCAGGATTCGAACTCCCAACCTCTTAGTCCAGAGGCAGGATCGCTAACCACTGGACTACAAGTAAAAAGGCTCCGTGCACTAGCTGATCAATTTTTTTGTGTCAATGAATGCAAGCTAGGAGCCCCGTTGCAAAACTGTTGGCACCCAGGCTAGGCATCAGTCGGCTACATAATAAATTTATGTTCAGAACTGGTAAAGGGTGTCAAGGAATCAGGCCCTGCTTTGTTGTTACACCTGACATCATGGGAAATGCTCCTCAAAGTACAGCAGAGCTTTTTTGCTCTTGTAATGGCCCATACACATAGGGAGTTGGTGATATCACAGAAGAAAACAAGGGTGGTGTTTAAAAAACACACCGGCGACGTGAGTATTTTAATAATATAATAGTATAAATTTGTAACCCTTTTGATATACCTTGTGTAAAAGGAATTTTTCTTATAACGGATTGTTGTTTTAGTACTACTGGTATGTTAAAATGTGTGTGTTTTTAACACCGTATTGTATGTAGGAAGTTGTATTGTTTGTTTTTGAGGGTGCTAATATGATGCATGCATCAACGAATGAAATGTGTACCCTGAGCTGTAACTCACATTCGTATGGATTTATGTTTGATTATTTAGGAAGTACGTGAGTAAGGTATAGTTATTAGGAAAGAATGGTATCTGACGCAAGTATTACTAAATAAGGATGAGCTTTTTGATAGGTATTGCCATATATAATAGACACGCTACGTGTACACCCAGGCGCTCGTCCAAGGTTCCCCAGATATCTGGCGTCTCCATATTCCACCTAACATGTCTGACTTTCCTCAGCGCCTTCACAAATTCACGGAGGCGCTGAAGGGACTTATGCAGAGCTACCCCAAGGTCACAGTATGGGACCACAGACGTCTGTGGAGACGCAACCAAAACTACTTTGCGCCTGTCGGCCTACACTTGTCCGATCTGGGAAACCTCCAGTATTACAAGAGTGTCCGCGGGGCTTTAGACCGCCAGCTAAGGCCCGGTCACACTGGCGGAACTTTGCTGGAGCGTTGCTTGAACGGTGAATAAAATTCATCACCGCTCGAAACCGCTCACCACCGCTAAACAGAAGTTGGCCCCCGTTAAAGCAACGCCGTGTACGCCCGGCCACCGCTGACGTTTCTGGAGGGGCCCTCCTACCGCTCCGAAAGTTTTGAGCTGCACAAAATATTGCGAGCGGTGAGGAGGGGGAAATTTTCCACTCCGGCAAAGTTCACCCCCGCTCCACCAACGCCCAGTCAAAGTTTGGCATCGCTAGACGCAAGTTCGTGGACGCTTGGGTCCGCTAGGCCAACGCAGAAATCTTGAACGCTTGACCACCGCTGCTTCGCCAGCGTTGCCCGGGCGGCGATTAAACGTTGCACAAACGTTGCACAAACTTCGCTGGAGCGGTTGCAAGCGTTTTACGAGCGGACACGGGCCCGGGGTTGCTGGAACGGTGTCAGGCGTTGAAGCAGCGATCCATGTCGGCAATGAACTTTGGTTTGGCGTTGGTATAGAGGTGTCGGAGCG